GCCTATAGTCTCAGCTACTTGGGAGGCTGAGGCAAAAGAATCACTCAAGCCAAAGAGTCTGAAATTGCTGTGAGCTGTGATTTAATGGCACTCTACAGAGAGCAACATAGTGAGAATGTGTCTCCAAAAAAAATATATATATATATCATCATTGTTGGGCCATTTGATAAATCTTTGGCCCAGCTACTTCTGGAAAGCTGGTCATTGTTTGCCTAAGGATGCTGGGGAAAGAGGCAGGGAGGGTTTTGAGGAAGGGACTACCAAGGCATGATGGGTATTTTCATGGTCTTGATTGTGGTAATGGTTTCACGGTTGCGTACATATGCACTTCTAAGGCGTGCAGTCTATCGTATGCTGAGTGTACATCAGTACAGGTGTTTTTAGGAAAAGGCACAGAGAAATAAAATAACTTAGCCAAGGTCTCACAATAACAACAAAATGAAATTGCAGAAGAAAAGATTAGTGGACATCCCACCCTTACTGGCTCCTCTATTTTTGGATATTGTGTTGTCGTTTTGGGATAAAACAGTGATATAATCTCTCGGTGTTGGCAGGCTTTAATTACATTGAAGCCTACTTCCTTTTTCCTTAAGCCAGCTTTCAAGAAGTAGCTGTCACTATAAATTACTTGGAATCTAGCGTTCTCTGTAACTGGAATCACACAGTACATTTTTGTCTAGCTTTGTCACCCAGTGTCCTTATTTTGAGATTTCTCCATACTGAAGCGTGTATCAGTAGCACATTCTGTTTCACTGTTGAGTAGTATTCCATAGTGTGGATAGCTCTGTTTATTCATATTGGCTGTTTCCAATTTGGAGTCTATTAGAAATAAAGTAGGCAAGTACTTAGAAGTGGCATGTCTAGCTCATGTGGTAGCTGCACATTTAACTTGCTTTTCAAAGTGGTTAACCATTTTACCCACCAGCGGTATGCACGTTTTAGTTGTTCCATATCATCATAAGCTTAAGCTGGCACAATAAGTCTTAATTCTAGCCATTCTAATGGGTGTGTAGTAGTTTCTCATTGTGGTTTTAATTTGCATTTCCCTAGTAACTAATGATATTGGGCTTGTTTTTTGTGCATGTTTGCCATTTATATATTTATTAAGGCTTGTTCGGATCTTTTGCTTTTTTTTTTTCAGAGACAGAGTTTTACTCTGTCATCCTTGGTAGAGTGCTGTGGCATCACAGCTCACAGCAACTGCCAGCTCTTGGGCTTAGGCGATTCTCTTGCCTCAGCCTCCTTGGTCTGCAGCTCTTGGAGCAGAGCCAAGAAAAGATTCCTTAAGGACATCAAAACGTAATGTATGGCTCGGCGCCTATAGCTCACCCGGCTAGGGCGCCAGCCACGTACACCTAAGGTGGCGGGTTCGAATCCCCAGCCCGGACCCGCCAAAACAACAATGATGGCTGCAACCAAAAAATGGCCGGGCGTTGTGGCGGGCGCCTGTAGTCCCAGCTACTTGGGAGGCTGAGGCAGGAGACTCGCTTGAGCCCAGGAGTTGGAGGTTGCTGTGAGCTGTAATGCCACGGCACTCTACCCAGGGTGACAGCTTGAGGCTCTGTCTCAAAAAAAAAAAAAAAACGTAATGTATAAAGTAAGAAATTAACAAATTGGACTTATTAAAAACTTCTAGTTTTCAAAAGACAAGCCACAGACCAGAATAAACTATTTGCAAATCATGTATCTGATGAAAGACTTGTCTCCAGAAAACAAACAGTCCAATAAAAAAAATAGCTAAAGATCCTAGCACTGTGGCTCAATGTGTCCATAACATCGCAGAGAAGGCCCCGATGCTGGTGAATGCTGCTGTGACTTATTTGAAGCCTCAGTTGGCCACATTTTGGTACTTCGCCAAGGTTGAGCTGGTTCCTCCAACCCCTGCTGAGATCCCTAGAGCTTTTCAGAGCCTGAAAAAAATAGTGAATAGTGCTCAAACTGGTAGCTTTGAACAGCTCACAGTTAAGGCAGCTGCGCTGAATGGTGGCCACTGAGGTGTGGATGTGGTTTTATGTCGGCGAGATCATAGGCAAGCATGGCATCATTGGCTATAATGTTTGAAGACCAAGCTTTAACATCTGATTACATTTGACTTATTAGAGAGGACCATGTGTGATCAGACTGTTACCTAAATAAGATGTGTCTGGACGGCGCCTGTGGCTCAGTGTGTAGGGCACCGGTCCCATATACCGGGTGGCAGGTTTGAACCTGGCCCTGGCCAAACTGTAACAAAAAATAGCCAGGTGTTGTGGCAGGCACCTGTAATCCCAGCTATTTGGGAGGCTGAGGCAAGAGAATTGCTCAAGCCCAAGAGTTTGAGGTTGCTGTGAGCTGTGACTCCGTGGCACTCTACCGAGGGCGACATAATGAAACTCTGTCTCAAAAAAATAAATAAATAAATAAAATGAAATTCTTTTTTCTCCTGTTTCATTTCAGGTAGTTGCTGTGTATTTTAGTTTACTAATCTTTTCTTCTACAATTTCTTATTTGCTGTTACTCTCATCCAGTGTGTTTTTCATTTTAGACATTGTGGTTTTCATTTCTAGAAGTTTGACTTGGGTCTTTATAATACATTCTTAATGCTTCTGCTTAAAGTTTTGAATATATAGAATATAGTTATGACAACTATTTGATGTTCCTGCCTGCTACTTTTAATGCCTGTGTTAATTCTGGTCTCTTTTACTCGATTGATTTTTCTTCTCATTATGGTCAGATTTTCCTGTCTTCTTGCATGCCTGGTGAACTTTGGATTCTGACATTGTGATGGAATGCAGAAATACCAATGCGATAGTATTTTTGTATTGCTGTCAATTTTGAGTTTTGTTCTAGGAGGCAGCTAAGTTATTTGGAAACTATTGGATCTTGAGTTTTGGGGGTGGGGTGGGGGAAGACCAGGACAGCATTTAATCTCTAGTTAATTTATCTCCTACTGCTGAGGCAAGAGCATTCTGAGTACTCTACCCAACGCCCTGTAAATTGTGAGGTTTTTTCCAATATGGCTTATGCAAACAGGCACTATCTTCTGCCTGTGCTAGGCCCTGTTATCTTTTCTGGTGGTTCTTTCTCTGACCTTAGCCGTGGATAACAGCCTTCTTTGTATGCCCCAACCAGTGATGAATTGAATAGTCAAGGGACACCCTTTGTAATTTGTAAAAAGTTTCTCCCTGTGCAACTCTCTCCTTCCTAGTACTCTGTCTTGCAGACTCTACTCATCTATTCACTTGGTCTTCTGGGGTTTTTATCTCTGTCTTCTCAACTCAGAGAGTCCAGAGGCCCCACCTGGGTTCCCCTCTCCACACCACCTAACTGCAGGCATTAGCTGGGCATTCGCAGAGCTCACCACGTTTGGTTCCTGTCACGCAGGGACCAGCGACTTTCATTGCTTATGTCCAGTGAAACTCTTCTTTTTCAAGCAGTAGGATAAATCTGGTCCCTGTTACTGCAGCTTATCTAGAAGCCCATGGGATGGCACAGTAATGTGTGCATTAAAAATTATGTTTTCTAAGAATATATAATGATACGGGATGATGGTTATAATACAGTGTTAAATTTTAAAAAGGCAAGACAGAAAACTGTGTGTGTGTGAGGGTGTTATAGCAAAACAGAAAATAGCAATATAGATGGATATGAGAAAAAACGAAGAGAATACATTCCATTATTAACAGAGGCAGCGCTAAAGAACTAGGAGGGATAACTTTTGTTCTCTTCTTCATTTTTGCTATGTCTTCCAACTAAACGAGTATTTCTCTTAAAATCTAGAAAAAAATAAGCTAAGCAATAAGTGTAAAGATATTTGAAGGGGTAAGATTAAACTCTAGCTAACTCAGAACTAGAAACTGCATTCACTGTAATTGAAGGCAGTGTGGTGTTCTAGAAAGAGCGTGCAAAGACTGGAAACCCTGCATTGGTGTTTACGCTGCTCTAAGATGACATATTCTGTGTACAGGAGTCCCCTCCTAGGCCTGGCAATCTCTTTGTGACCCAGTGTCTCTTTTCTTCTATCCACAGATAGTCCGTGTGGAGCCCTTGGTGACCATGGGTCAGGTGACTGCCCTGCTGACCTCCATTGGTTGGACCCTGCCCGTGTTGCCCGAGCTTGATGACCTCACAGTAGGTGAGGACTCTGTGTTAATGGGCAGGAAGAGTCAGGTGGCCCTCGGGTCACAGCTACTGGGCCTTAACCACCTTCTGTCTGATCCAGGAATTGCCACTATTCCATCTGTGACAAGAAGTCACCCTGACTTTTACTTACCTGTTCCAATGCCGGGATGTTCACTGCCCATTCTTCCATTTCTGAGCTGCTCAAGTTGTATCAGATAATAACACTTTCTAATTTGTGGCTTGAATCTGCTCCCCTGTGACTTGCATCCATTGCTTCAGTTCTGGGCAGGAGACTCAGGGATTAAGTCTGGCCTCTTTTCCCCCTGTAGCTTGCGTGGTCCCCAAAGCCTTTTATTCTCCAGGGGAAACAACTTCAGAACGCAACTTTCTGCTACCCCTCCAACCTGCTATTTCATTTAAGTCTTTCTTAAAATGAACGTGTGTAGGTTTCTAGGATGAGCCTGGCCAGAGGGGAGGGAGGGAGTGAGCACCCTTGATGGGGTATTCCCATCCATCCCCTGCCTCTGAAAACAAACCTCCCATCTCAGCTCTTCCTCCTCTCTCCTGCTCTCCAGATCCACAGAGGTGGGAAATCTACCCTCAGTCAACAGCCCCATTCCTGCCAGCCTGTCATGCCTCCCTTGCCTGGAGATCCCCCAGCTTCCAGACACCCCCTGCTCTTTACCCTGGAGCTCTCCCTGGTTAACACACGTGTCTCTGCAGGGGGCTTGATCATGGGCACAGGCATAGAGTCGTCATCTCACAAGTACGGCCTGTTCCAACACATCTGCACTGCCTACGAGCTGGTCCTGGCCGACGGCAGCTTTGTGCGGTGCACACCGGTGAGTTGGGAGATGGGGGATATTGGTTCCAGTTTGCCCTGGGGGTTAAGGATCCTGGGGTCAAGGAGGTGGCTCCCAGCGGGGTGCTTCATTTCAAATATTCCTACTCAGTCTTGGTCTGTATCTATCATAACTTGTAAAAATTTATGTAACCCCTCGTATATTTAGGCAAGGTTGTAAATGCTTCGTATCTGCTAAAGCCTTCGATCCTGCACAACATTATGATGTAGGTACTGCTGTTATCCTCATTTTACATTTAGGAAACTACAGCACAGAGAAGTTAATAAACTTGCCTTAGGTCACACAGCTAGTTAATCCCACACAGCTTGGACTCAAACCCTAGTAATCAGGCTCCTTGATCCTTGTACACCACACTGCCTCTCTGGAGGAAGTCAGGCCTCAGCATCAAAGCTCTGTAACACAATTTGTGAGGAACAGTCATGTGTCACTTAATGACAAGGATACATTCTGAAAAACACATGTTAGACAGTGTGTGTGAACATCAGAGCATGCTTACGCAAACCGAGACGCACGGCCCACTGCTCACCTAGGCTGTGTGGTAGAGCTTACTGCTGTAGGCTGCACTTCCGTGTGGTACATACTATACAGAATTCTACCACAATGCTAAGTATTTGTGTATCTAAACATACACAGATACAAAAGGGCTCAGCACCTATAGCTTAGCAGCTGGGGCGCCAGCCGCATAGACCAGGACTGGTGGGTTCGAACCCAGCCTGGGCCTGCCAAACAAAATGGCTACTACAACAAAGAAATAGCCAAGCATTGTGGCGGATGCCTGTAGTCCCAGCTCAAGAGAATCGCTCAAGAGTTTGAGGTCGCTGTGAGCTGTGATGCCAAGGCACTCTACCAAGGTGAGACTCTGTCTCAAAAATAAATAAACAAACATACAAAAGGTATAGTAAAAATATAGTGCACATGTAAAAGATTTTTTTTTTTTGAGACACAATCTCACTATGTCACCCTCAGTAGAGTGCTGTGGTGTCACAGCTCACAGCAACCTCAAACTTGGGCTCAAGTGATTCTCTTGCCTCAGCCTCCCAAGTAACTGGGACTACAGACACCTGCCACAATGCCCGGCTATTTTTTTGTTGTTGTTGTTGCAGTTGTCATTGTTGTTTAGCTGCCCTGTGTCAAGTTTGAACCCACCAGCCATGGTGCATGTGGTTGGCACTGTAACCACTGTGCTACGGGTGCCAAGCCATATGTAAAAGATTTTTAAAATGGAGCCCAGACTGGTGACTTAGACCTGTTATCCCAGCACTTTGGGAGGCAGAGGTGGGAGGATTACTTGAGGCCAAGGGTTGGAGATCTATCTGAGCAACATAACATAGTGAATCTGTATAAGAGAAAAGAAAATAGGATTAAAAAAAAACGTGGCTAGGTGCTCACTCATAGCTCAGTAGTTAGGGCGCCAGCCACATGCTTAGTCCCAGCTACTAGAGAGGCTGAGGCAAGAGAATCACTTGAGCCCAAGAGTTTGAGGTTGCTGTGAGCTATGATGCCATGGCACTCTACTGAGGGTGACAAAGTGAGACTGTCTCAATTTAAAAAAAAAAAAAGAAAACATAAAAAATGGTATACTTGTATAGGGCACTTGCAGTATAGAATAGAGCTTACAGGACTGGAAGTTCTCTGGGTGAGTCAGAGTGAGCGGTGAGTGAGTGGGAAGGCCCGGGGCTCGACTGCACTGCTGTAGACTTCAAGAACACTGTACACTTAGGCTACACTAAATTTACAGAAACTGTTTTTCTTTCTTTTGTAAAAAATTAACCTTAAGTTATTGTAACTTCTTTACTTTATAAACTTTTTGAAAACTCTTTTGTAATAACACTTAAACCACAAACACATTGTACAGCCCAACAAAAATATTTTCTTTATGTCCTTAGTCTGAAGCTTTTCTCTATTAAAACTGTTTTTAATTTTTGTACCTTTTAAACTTCTCTTGTTACAAACTAAACACACATGAGCTTAGGCCTACACAGGATCAGGATCATCAGTATCACTGTCTCCCACCTCCACATCTTATCCCGCTGGAAGCTTCAGGAGCTTGGAGCTGTCATCTGCTAGCCTCACAATGCTCTTTTCTGGAACACATCCCAAGGGGCCTGCCTGAGGCTGTTTTACCATTAACTTTTTTTTTTTTTAATAAGTAGAAAGAATATACTCTAAAATTAAAGATTAAAAGTATAGGATACTGGCTGGGCATGATGGCCCACACCTGTAATCCTAACACTCTGGGAGGCCAAGGTGAAAGGATTTCTTGAACTCAGACAAGACCAGCCTGAGCAAGAATGAGACCCTGTCTTTACTAAAAAGAGAAAAATTATGGCTCAGCACCCGTAGCACAGTGGTTACGGTGCCAGCCCCATACACAGAAGTTGGCAGGTTTGAACCCAGCCTGGGCCAAATTGCATCAAAAAAATAGCTGGGTATTGTGGTGGGCGTCTTTAGTCCCAGCTACTTGGGAGGCTGAGGCAAGAGAATCGCTTTAGCCCAAGAGTTTGAGGTTGCTGTGAGCTGTGACACCACGGCACTCTACTGAGAGTGACATAGTGAGACTTGTCTCAAAGAAAAACTAACCAGGGCAGCGCCTATGGCTCAGAGGAGTAGGGCGCTGTCACCATATACCAGAGGTGGCAGGTTCAAACCCAGCCCCGGCCAAAAAAAAAAAAAAATTAGCGGGGTGTGGTGGAGGGCTCCCCAGCTATCAGGAGGCTGAGACAGGAGGATCATGTGAGCCTGGGAATTTCAGATTGCAGTAAACTAGATTGAGGCCACAGCACTCTAGCCTGGGTGACAGAGTGAGACTGTCTTTAAAAAAAAAGTATAGGATAGTAAATACATAAACCCAGCGTGACCCAGTCCTTTATTATCACGTATTATGTACTGTACACGGTTGTATGTGCAGTACTTTATATGATTAGAGGTGCAGTAGGTTTGTTTACAATGTGTTGTGGGTCCCCAATGAGTGGGACCATCGTCGATGGGATTCATCATTGACCCAAATGATATTATGTGGTTGTCAGCCTAACAGAGGGGCTCTCTAAAAGAAAAGATATTTATTTAGAAATAGAGCATTGTAATGGGATTCACATGCCATGGTAAACTATGTGCATATTCAGGCAAGTAAAAGGAGACAAAGGAAAAATTAGGAGGATTATGTGATTGTTTTAAGGTAATTACCCATGGCTACAAAGATTAATAACAAGGGAGATGCCAGTCCAAGGTGGGGCGGGCAGTTGCTAGGCAGATGTCCTTGTAGAAATAGTTTTTGTGTAAGGTTGTGATGACCTTTGTGCAATATTGCTGGGGTTTGTTTTGTTTTGTTTTGTTTGAGACAGAGTCTCGCTCTGTTGCCCAGACTAGAGTGCCTGGTGTCAGCCCATATCACAGCAACCTCAAACTCCTGGGCTTAAACAATCCTCTTGCCTCAGCCTCCCAAGTAGCTGGAACTACAGGTACCTACATGGTTCCTGGCTAATTTTTCTATCTTTAGTAGAGATGGGGTCTCACTTTGCTTAGGATGGTCTTGCCCTCCTGAGCTCAAGGGATCCTCCCGCCTTGGCCTCCCAGAGTGCTAGGTTACAGGGGTGAGCCTCCACACCTGGCCGCGGGTGTGATTTGTGTAGAGTCTTTCGTTATCAGGCACATTAAATGTAAAGAGCACCCGTCTTCGGGGCCTTCCCCAGCTCTATTTGTCAGGGTTTTCTTGGCCTGAATGAGTCTGTTTTGAGTCTGACAACTTCACACAGCGCGTAACTATATAACTGAAAGCGATTGATGGGGCAGTTTGGAAGATAAAAGGCAGTCCTACCACCAAGCTGGGAGACAAACATTTAAGGCCTTTTACCTGAGGAGGGATTGAAACTTTCAGCAACCTCAGATCTGTCCTAGCATGTGTGAGGGGCACCTGGGATGGGAAGGGCAGTTCAATGCTTTTGAAGTAGGTATTTCAGAGAGACCCCAGAAAAGCTGTTGTCGACGAGCCCACCACGCTGCTAATCATATAAAATACGGCACGTGCAACTATGTACAGCACATAATACTGGGTAATAAGGGAGTATGTGACCCGTTTATGGATTTACTATCATGTACTTTTAATCATTATTTTAGAATGTACTCCTTGTAAATATTTTTTAAAAAGTTAACCGGCCTTGGGCGGCGCCTGTGGCTGAAGGAGCAGGGTGCCAGCCCCATATACCAGGGGTGGCAGGTTTGAGCTTGGCCTTGGCCAAAACTGCAAAAAAAAAAAAAAACAGTTAACTGGCCTTACAGAAGAGAGCCCAGGGAGAGACTCCCAGTTTGGGGGCTCTGGTCTTAGATGAGAGTTACCCCTCTCAGACTCCCATCAGCTCAGCGTGTCTCCCTATCTTCTAACCTGTTTGTTATCAGCAGAGAGAGGGGACAGAACAATCGTAAATCCTCTCCCTTCTCTGGGGCCCACGTGCCTCACCTGACAAATGTCAGGAGGAGTCAGCAGGTGTGTCAGGCTGTGTGGACCCCCTCAAGTAGAGCCATGCACAGAACGGGTGCCCTGGAGTCAGAACCGTGTGATTAGCTGGTGGCCCAGAAGGGGAGTTGTGGGCCCAGTTCTGTCCCAGAGGCTTCTGCCAGCCTGCTGCAGAGCTGTCCTGCTGCGTCCACCATGCCCACAACCAAAAGCGTTCAGGGTTAGGGAGCCTGCACAGGGCTGTCCTCTTGGTAAAGGCAAGATGAGAGAAGACATTTTCAAAAAGAACTTTATTAGAATCAAATAAATTAGAGTGGCCAAAGGAAAAGTCAGTTGTCTGTCTTGAGACAGATGTTATAACAAGAAAATGACAATGTTAGGTACGGGTGTGTGGAGCCAGGGGCGGTGTTGGGAGGTAGGTGATCTTGTCTGAGCCCCAGATTTGCTGAGCTGGCTTTCTGGGAAGCCTTGGCTGAGTCAGGTCTCCTGGAGACTCACTTTCCTTACCTGTCATCAGGGGTGTTACTACTCTCCCTGGGCTTTGTCAGTGGGAGGAGGTTTAAGGGGGTGAATTCCACATTCCAGTGGACTAGGAAAGGCTTTATAAATGTTTGGGGGTTGTTATGTTTTGTTTTGTTTGAGACAAGAGTCTCACTCTGTTGCCCTGGGTAGAGTCCATGGTATCACAGCCCACAGCAACCTCAAACTCCTGGACTTAAGCAAACGATCCTCCTAACTCACCCTCCTGAGTAGCTGATACTATAGGTTCCCACCATAATGCCTGGGTAGTTTTTCTGTTTTTAGTAGAGATAGGGTGTCACTTGTGCTCAGGCTGGTCTCGAACCCCTGAGCTCAAACAGTCCACTCACCTCAGTCTCCCAGAGTGCTAGGATTACAGGTGTGAGCCACTGCACCTGTCCTGTGAATGTTAGTAATGGCTCAGAAAGGTGGCATTTAAGTGTTCCCTGGCTACCGTGACTCAGAATAAGGTCTCAGCTCTTGGCCTCGCCTTGGAACCCTGCTCCTTAGTCCCCCAATTGTGGGTCTTTGGGCACTGCTGGTCATGGCCTTCCTGGGTAGCCTGTGGTTCAGGGGCAGGCCCAGGATGGAGGATGCTCACTGAACAAGCACCCCTGAGACAGAGGCCTTATTAGGTAAATGCCATAAGGAAGCTGTAGAGACCCACGAAGTGTGGTCTGTAATGTTCATTGGGTGGGTTTACACCAGATAGTGACAGATCAGGGATTTAGCCAGGCCCCAGTTTTTCTCCCACAACGTGGGGTCTGGGGCTCCAGCTCTCAGCATGTGTCACTTCTGTCTCTCAGACTGAAAACTCAGACCTGTTCTATGCTGTGCCTTGGTCCTGTGGGACTCTGGGCTTCCTGGTGGCTGCCGAGATCCGCATCATCCCTGCCAAGAAGTACGTCAAGCTACGATTTGAGCCAGTGCGGGGCCTGGAGGCCATCTGTGACAAGTTCACCCACGAGTCCCAGCGGCTGGAGAACCACTTTGTGGAAGGGCTGCTCTACTCCCTGGACGAAGCCGTCATCATGACGGGCGTCATGACAGATGAGGCAGAGCCTAGCAAGGTAGGCCGGGGGCAGCTGCTTCAGACCAAGACCAGGGACAAAGAAGGCCGAGGGGGTTTCTGGGACTGAGGCTGGTCCCCTACCCCAGCCAGCTCTTCAAGGCTGCTCCCTGGGCTAGCCTAGCCCACCCGGGGTACAGGCAACAGGATCCCCTACCAGAGACAGTGATGAAAGCTTCTGTTTACTCTGGCCCTGCTACCTGCTGGGAACGGGCTGGTCCCTTGATAGGTGTAATCTTTGGCGCTCACAGCAACCCCATTAGGAACCGAGGCTTCAGGAGCTAATGTAAACTCCCACAAGGTGGGAGAAACCAGGATCTGAGTAACCGATTTGATGCCTCAGGATCCAGACTGACACTCCTTCCACGTACACCGTGTAATTTTTAATAGGATTTGTGATTATAAGAGACTTGAAAGACAGTGTTTTTCAACCTTCTTTATCTCACAGCACACTTGAACCTACAGTTAAACTTCTCAGCACACTTAAATTATGTTGATCAAAATAAGAGTAAAATAAAGACTATACTTACTGTGCTTTGAACTTCCTTTAAAAATGATTCAATTAATGATCTTTACAAATACTTACAGCACATCTAAGATCCTCTCACAGCACACAAATTGACAATCACTGGTATAAATGAATAAAAGGAAAGAAAAGTCCCCCCCCCACCCCATAAACATGACCAAAGCCAGCTGTTGCTGATGTATTTGGTATATAGTAAGCCCTCTATATCTGTGGCCTCCACATCCATGGTTTCAACCAAGCACAGATCAAAAATATTCAGGGCTCAAGTGGCTCAAGTGGCTATGGTGCCAGCCATGTACACCTGAGCTTGTGGGTTTGAATCCAGCTCAGGCCCACCAAACAATAATAGCTGCAACCAAAAAATAGCCGGGAATTGTGGTGGGCACCTGTGGTCCCAGCTACTTGGGAGGCGGAGGCAGGAGAATCGCTTGAGCCCAGGAGCTGGAGGTTGCTATGAACTGTGATGCCACGGCACTCTACCCAGGGGGACAGCTTGAGTCTCTGTCTCAAAAAAAAAAAAATTCAGGGCTGGGATGGATGGTTGCATCTGTGCTGAACATGGACAGACCTTTTTCCCTTGTCATTATTTCCTGAGCAATACAGTATAAGAACTATTACACAGGCCAGGCTGGTGGCTCACGCCTGTGACCCCAGCACTTGGGAAGCTGAGGTGGGTGTATTGCTTGAGCTCAGGAGTTCAAGACCAACCTGAGCAAGAGTTAGACCCCCATCTCTAAGAATAGCCTAGCACTGTGGTGGGGGCCTGTAGTCCCTGCTACTCGGGAGGCTGAGGCAAGAGGATAGCTTAAGACTAGGAGTTTGAGGTTGCTGTGAGCTGTGATGCCATGGCACTCTATCAAGGGTGACAAAGTGAGACTCTGTCTCAAAAAAAAAAAACAAAACTTTTACACTGTAAATGCAAACATTTACATTATAAGTAAGCTAGAGAAGACTCAAAGTACAGGGGAGGACACATGTAGCTTATATTCAAATACTATGCCATTTTATGTAAGGGACTGAGCATCCTTGGATTTGGGGAGTTCTGGGAAACAATCCCCTATGGATATTCAGAGAAGACTATTTCTTTTCTTTTTCTGTGCATAGATTAAGTTTTTACTTTTTAAAAATTATTTATTTATTTATTTTGAGACTAATTCTCACTCTGTCATCCTGAGTTATCATAGCTCACAGCAGCCTCAAACTCTTGGGCTCAAGAGATCCTCTTGCCTCAGCCTCTTGAGTACCTGGGACTATAGGCGCCTGCCACAATACCAGGCTAATTTTCCTATTTTTATTTATTTTTTTGCCCATAATCAAAACTTTATTAAAAGACTGACATCAAAATAGGAGATTGCTATTGTATACCTTACAAAATCAAACTTAATTCTCTTAGTAGATGAACTAGAATTACTGAACTTACAATAAGGCTTTCTGTGAGATATCACCACTTCAGAAAGTTGTGTAGATCATTAGTGTTGCTTGCTTTGCTTCTAAATGAACACCCTTCTGTGAGTCCGTCCTTTCCCCTGTAGGCTGGCACAGCACTGTTGAACAACCCACACAAAGAACCCCTGTCTGAGCAAGGCTGAAAGCTATGGTAACCTTGTAGCAACCTGGCCATTTTACATCCATACAATAAGAGTTTGGACTTTGAACTAGGCGTTTCTTTTTATATTTTTTCTTTTCCTCTTCCAAGGACGGATGTAGTAAATCTCTCTAGCCAAAGGCATCTTGATACTTTCCCAAGGCCAGCTCGTCTGGACCGCTCAGATGACACTCCTGGCAGGCAGCATGTGAGCTGGCACTCCTAGTTTTTCTGTTTTTAGTAGAGGTGGGGTCTCGTTCTTGGTCAGGCTGGTCTCGAACTCCTGAGCTCAGGCAGGCCACCCACCTCGGTGTCCCACAGTGCCAGGATTACAGGTGTGAGCCACCTCGCCTGGCCAGTTTTTAAGTTTTTTAATTGCAAAAGTAGCAGAGCAATGTTAGAGTCCACAAAGTTCAAGTGTATGTCTTACACCCAGGGAAACCGCTGTAACAGTTCAGTGTACGTTCTTTGAGACCATTTCTGTGTGTGCATGTGTGTGCCCCCATCATTCATCACACCGCACTGGTGCCTGTAATACTGGGCTTAACGCATTACTTGCTGGTGAACATTTATGTTGCTTAAATTGTTGCTCTCACCAAGTAGGTTGCATTGAAGATTCTCTTCCATCTGTCCTTGCCCTTTTGTGTAAGATTGAGTTTTAAAAAATGGAATTTCTAACCCAAAGGTTTCAGAACATTAACCTTTGCTAGATAAAACAGAACAGCCCTCCCGAAGAGCAGCACTTCCGCCTGCCCGTGTGGTCGTGTGTGAGAATGCCTTTTCCCCTACGTTCTTGCCAACAGTGGATAGTATCACTCTTTCATTTTTGCCAATCTGATAGGGTTAAAAATAGTATCTCGTTTTATTTTGCAGTTCCTGGATCACTTGCAATGTTTTGCATCCCTTTGCAGAGTTTTTCGGCTTGTTACCATTCAGCTGTGATCCCAGTTCAAGTGTGTCTTTCTAGTTCTGTGTAATAAGCATTTCTCCATGTTATACTGTCTCCATCACCTGCAGCCTTCATGGGCATCTGAACATTGCATTGAGTGAATGCCCCACCACTGCCCCATAGTTGGAAATTTAAGTTGCTTCTATTTTTTTCATTATTTTAATTAACAGATCACCGAACATCTTTTGTCTGTAACTTGAATAATATCTTAAACTGGAATTGGTAGATCAAAGGATAGTACCTCTTAAGGGCCTTATCTATACCTATATACTTTAAATCTTTCCAAAACTGGAAAGGGCCAGAAAAGCATTTGGTATAACCTGCTAGGGGCCCAGCTGGGACAGAGCATACTTAAATCCTGGTCTCTGACTCCAGGTTCAGTGCCAGGTCTCTAAGACATATCAGCACCTAGAATTTAGCATTGTCCGTAAACATTGCTTCCTCTGGAACACTGTTGAGTGCTGGAGGATGGGGTCCTAGAGCAGTGGTGGCAGCACTGGATACTGAGTCCCCATGGTACTCCCCAGCTCTGCCTGACCCAGGCCAGAGCCCGTAAGCATGTATCATCTAGCACCTGGTCACTTAGCAAGGATGCCTAGACTAGAGGTCTGCTCCACGGTGTTGCTTTAGAGGTCGTCAGCGATAGTAAGGCCAAGGGAGGGGACTGAGGGGAGGCGCCACACCCACTGTGCCCAAAGCCCTTTGCTGCCATCTGTTTGATGTATTAGATACCATCCAAGGTTATTATTGAGCAGAAGGGTTTGTACAGATTTTTTTTTTTTTTTTGAGACAGAGCCTCAAGCTATCCCCCTGGGTAGAGTGCCATGGCGTCACAGCTCAGAGCAACCTCCAACTCCTGGGCTCAAGCGAGTCTCCTGCCTCTGCTTCCTAAGTAGCTGGGACCACAGGCGCCCGCGCCCGGCCATTTTTTGGTTGCAGGCATCATTGTTTGGCGGGCCCGGGCTGGGGATTTGAACCCGCCACCTTAGGTGTATGTGGCTGGCGCCTTAGCTGCTTGAGCCACAGGCGCTGAGCCTGTACAGATTTTAAAATGTCACTTGGTTCCCTTATTTTCCAAGGAGATAACCAAGGACCAGAGGGCCTTACAGAGAGGCTATCCTAGAATCAGTAGCAGGGGGACTGAGCCCCAAAAGGCCGTGGGGCAAGACCCTGACACCCAGTGGGAACAGAGCTGGGGCAGGAAAGTGATCAATGCCATGAGATACGTGACGGTTTAGGAGCATTTCTTGCGAACATTCCTGGTTAGAAGGCTGCTTAGCAATTTGTCCATGTGTGCCATGCTCTGCGATGGGCCCTGTGTAGGCACTGAACAGTGTAAGGCTCACGACAACCCCAGACAGAGGCAGCCGGACCCTTATCATGCAGGGAGGTGCCGAGACCGGAAGTGGCTTGCTATCACAGTGTGAGGGCTGCACCTTCAGCTCTCGGCCTCCTTAGCTGGCATTTCTGGCAGGAACTGCTCCTCCCACATCAGTAAACACCAGGAACACCTGTATCCAGGTACCTGCAAGTCTTGCCTTCATCATGCAGGTAGTGCCACAGCCAGGTGTGTGCCAGGCCTCACCTGGGGTTAGATCGGGTTGCTCTGTTTCCTGTTGGGTTTCACCTTCCCTCACATTAGCAGGCAGAGACCAGTGTGTGGGGGTCTTTTGCCCCAGCTTCCACACTGCAGGGAAGCCTCCTAGCAGCAGGGAGTCACACTAGACGGGCTGCACGTAGCTGCAGGTGCTGGAGACCAGTGGAGGGCAGGATGGCCCGGCTGTAGGGCAGAGTGGGCTGGCAAAGGGATGGGGAACCGTGTGGGCCAGTGAGAGGCAGGGCCAATGCTGTGCCCACTTTGGGTAGGTGCCATGCCAGGCACCATCTACGTTATCTTCTTCAATCTTCCCCAAACCTCCGGGGGTAGCAATGTCTCTATTTTTCCTATACAGAAAATGAGGCTCAGAAAGTCTGACTAACCAGCCTGCCCTAGGTCGGCCAAGTGCACTGTCAGAGGAAAAGACAAATTAATGGGCTTTGTACAGGATGGTCCTGTTTTTATAAAACTGTGTGGATGTATGTATAATTTTCAATAGGCACAGAAAACTTCTATACAGTATGTATTTTATTGTCATTTTATATGCGAAGAAATAGGCTCAGAGAGTGACCTGCCCAAGGTCACACAGCTAGTGGGGACTGGGCCAGACTTTGGTCCTGGCTGCCTAACCCTGGAGCCTGTGCTCTTTTCAGAATGCCCCTGCCTATCCCAGAGAACATGTGCTCAGTCATCCCAGGGCACATGGCAAGTGAAGACCCGACCATTTAGGATCATAGAAGACACTAGCTCCATATAACATTTGGGCATTGGAGCCCATGGGGTCCAATGCCAGGGAGACGTGTGGGTTTACTCTTGTGAGTTCCCTCCAGACGACGAGGCTGTCCAAGGCAAGTGTGTTGCCAGAGGCCTGTGGAGCTTGGCCCAAGGACGGGAGGGCAAGTGACTCAGCCAAGCAGCATCATGGGCCCTGGGCGGCAGTGGGGGGATAACCCATGCTCTGTGCTTGTGCCAACGCTGGCTGGTGGAGGACGGGAGAGAGAAGGAGTCCCCTGCACGGAGCATGACATCGTGGCAGACACTTAAACATTTGTACATGTGCCTGCCGTCAGGGAGCAGCAGGCTAGGATGGGGTCACTGATTTATGATCAGGGAATTGCTGTTTAGCTCTGGGCATAGCACTTAACCTCTTTGAGCTTCTGCACTCTGCTAGCAAATACCCACTGTGCTAACCTTACCCAGACTTCACACATCCCACAGGTGGTAACAGACGTGAAAGGGCTTTGAAAAGGCCAGAAGCTCTGAACAGAAGCCAGGTATCACTGTTACGCCCTGATGGCATCGGGCGCTTGTCTGCAGGCTGATCACAATGCCCTCTTGTCATTCCAGCTGAATAGCATTGGCAATTACTACAAGCCGTGGTTCTTCAAGCACGTGGAGAATTACCTGAAGACCAACCAGGAGGGCCTGGAGTACATCCCCTTGAGACACTACTACCACCGCCACACGCGCAGCATCTTCTGGGAGCTCCAGGTGAGGCTTGGGTTTCCCGGAGTCCTGCTCCTCCCGGCCAGCCGGCAGGGAGCCAGGACAGTTAACTTCATGGCCACACTCTCTGTCTCTTAAGGGAAAAAAAAAGAGTGGCTTTGTCCAAAGGAACTGAAACGCTGCCTTAAGCAGCAACACAAGTCACTTCCTTACCAAGCGTTTGCTTAGTGCTGGGGAGTGAGCCACTGGGCAGGCACTTGTTCTGTCCTTGAGGAGTGGTTGATCTAGCCAAGCACACAGATCCCCGCACTGTAAAGGGCATGGAGACCAGAGGAGGACTTGGCTAGTTCTGTCTAGGGCCTGAGGTAGCAGACAAGCTTGGCCTTGGCGGGTGAGCAAGAATTTGCTATTGTCAATTGGGGGCCTAAGGGAGGTGGACAGGTGGGAAGCAGTGACATTTTAAATTGGGGGGCAGGAGTGATGTCAAGAAAGACCCCACAGGAGATGACTTGCGAACAGGGACCTGAACACAGGGAGGGCAGGCCACGCAACTCTGGGGGAGCCTGCACAGGCAGAGGACCAGCCAAAGCCCACGGCTTGAAATGGGCTAATGTAAAATGAGCCAGTCTAACGTGCAGTTCAGAGGAATTTAGACATCTACAATAAACAACTACCCCTCTATCTATTTTCAAAACATTTTCATCACCCTAAAGGGAACCCCAGACCCACTAAGCAGTCACTCCCTATCCCCCCCTTGCTGCACCTGTGGCAAACACCAGTTTGCTTTCTGTGTCTATGAATTTACTATTCTGATAATTCATGCAGATGGAATCATACAATGTGCCTTGTGTGGCTGGCTTCTTCCACATAGCATGATAGTTTCGTGCATCCGTATTTCATCTCCTTTGTATGGACGGGCCGTATGCCGCTGTACAGCTAAACCACATTTAGGTTTTCCACTCATCTGTTGGACATGTGGGTTGTTTTCAACCTTTTGGCTCCTAAGAACAGTCTTTCCGTGAACTTCTCTATGTGCAAGTATTTGTTTGAATACTTGTCTTCAGTTCTTCGGGATATATACCTAGGAGGGGAATTGCTGGATCATATGCCAATTCTGCCTAACTTAGCAAGGAACTGCCCAGCTGCTTTCCACACGGGCAGTGCTGTTTCACGTTCCCACCAGCAGCGTACAAGCGTTCCAGTTTCTCTACATCCTCACCACTTGTTATTATCTGATTTTTAATTATTATTATGATGATAGCTACACTACTGGGTGTGAAGTCGTATCTCACTGGTTTTGACTTGCATTTTCCTAATGACCAATGATGTTGAGCCTTTTGTTACGAGCTAGTCGGCCATTTGTGTATCTTCTATCAGAAAGTGTCTATTAAGTCCTTGGCCCCCGTTTATTCATTTGTTTATTTATTTATCTATTTATTTTTGAGACAGAGTCTTACTTTATCGCCCTCGGTAGAGTGCCGTAGCGCCACAGCTCATAGCAACCTCCAACTCCTGGGCTTACATGATTCTCTTACCTCAGCCTCCCCAGTATCTGGGACTATAGGTGCCCACCCACAACACCCGGTTATTTTTTGTTGCAGTTGCTACTGCTGTTTTAGCTGGCCGGGGCTGGGTTTGAACCCACCACCCTTGGTATATGGGGCTGGCACCCTACCCACTGAGCCACAAGCTCCCCCTTCTAGCCCTCTTTTAAATGGGGTTGTTTGTCTTGTTGAAATGTAAGAGTTCTTTGTATATTCTGGATAGTAAACCCTTATTAGATACATGACTTTCAAATACGGTAGAACCTCTGTAGTTGACCACCTTTCTATATCAACCACCTCCTTAAGTTGACTTTAATTTTCGTAGACCAGACATGAACTACATTTATGTGTCAGTACAGTGAGCCTAGTTCCTTATGTTGACCACCTCCACATATTGACCAGTTTGTTATAGTCCTTTGGGCGGTCAACTTACAGAAGCTGTGCTATAAGCCAGGCATGGTGGCTCACACCTGTAATCCTAGCATTCTGAGGGTCTGAAGTGAAAGGATTACTTGAGCTCAGGAGTTCAAGACCAGCCTGAGCAAGAGTGAGATCCGTCTCTACTAAAAATACAAAAACGAGTGAGGTATTGTGGTGGCCCTTGTAGTCCCAGCTCCTGGGAAGGCTGAGGCAAGAGGATTGCTTGAGCCTAAGAATTTGGGGTTGCTGTGAGCTGTGATCTATAATGATACCATACTCTACCCAAGGTGACAGAGTGAGACTCTGTCTCAAAAAAAGAAAAAAGTTCTATATTTAGGTTGTTGATGTGTTGAGTTAATTTTTACATCTGCAGTGAGGTAAGTGTCAAACTCCATTCTTTGCATAGAGCTTTCGTTGTCCCAGAAGGTTGTGTGTGTTGGAGAACAGCAAGAAAGCTGCTGCCTAGAGCCGTGGTGGGAAGTGGGGGCAAACAGCAGCCGGGACTCGATGTTGTGCCTCTTTGTAGGTCAGGAAGGACTTTATGTTTTCTTCGGAGTGGGGCAAGAAGCCAGTGAGGGTTTTGAGCAGGAAAGGGGCATGGCCTGATGTTTGCTTTGAAAGAATAACATTGGCAGCTAGACTGGGAATGGATGGTGGTGGGGGTGGGAAGAGTGGATGGGAGGGCAGGAGAAGGATTTCTGTTGTCTGAGGCAGCAGCAGTGGAGAAGGAGAGAAATGTCAGGTCTGAGAGCTGCTGGGAGGACGAACCAGTCAACAGGATTTCCAGGCAGATTGGCCATGGGTGTGATTCCAAGGCTCAGGGCCCATGGGGCTGGGTGAACAGAGGCACCCTTGACAGTCATGGGAAACATGGGGCTGGGACCCGGGAAGGCCTGAGAGGCTTCTGGATGTCCAGGTAGGCAGGCAGCTGACTGTGTGTGTCAGGACTTCAGGGCCGCAGGAGGGGCTGGGGCTGCACATACAAATGTGGCAGTGGCAGGGAAATGTTATGCAAAGCCGGGAGGCAGATGAGAAGAAAAGAGGTGTGAGAGCCCAGCCCTGGGGCACCTGCAGGTGAGGGGAAGAGGAGCCGGCCGCGGAGAGGGGACCAGGGGACCAGGGGACCCTGCCACCTGTCAGAGTAGGGGGGCAACCCAGGAAAATGTGGTGTCCCAGGGACCCCTGCAGGTGAGGGGAAGAGGAGCCAGCCACGGAGAGGGGACCATGCCACCAGTCAGAGTAGGGGGGCAACCCAGGAAAATACACCTACAGGATAGGGGAAGAGGAGCCAGCCGCGGAGAGGGGCCTGTGCCACCAGTCAGAGTAGGGGGGCAACCCAGGAAATGTGGTGTCCCAGGAGCCACGGGAAGGAAGACCAACAACTGTGCCAAATGCTGCCAAGGGAAGTAAGGACAGAGATCAACCTTGGTCTTAGCCAGAGGAAGATCTGTCTTCACTCTTCTCTGCACAAGCTGTGCCCCTCTTTGTTCTTAACTGGAACCTGGCTGTCCCCTGCAGCTCTCTCTAGTGGCTCATGTTCTCCCCAAAACCCTCCTGCCAAGGGGACAGGGGAGGTAAAGTGGGTCCTCCTAGCCCCACAGTACTGCCTCTATCCTGTTCTGACCCCGGGACAAAAATCACCTTCAGCGACTTTGTAGCACGTGCCCAAGAACCCCACCCACCCAGCAGCCCCAGCTCCCCTCCCTGGATCCTGGATCACTACCCCCCCACCTCCAGTCCTCTCAGCAGAGCCTAGATCACTATCACACCCTTCAACTTCAACACTGTGACTCAATGCCCACAGAGACGGTCCTCCCCCGCCTGGCCTCCCAGCTCCCTGAACTCCTCTCTTCATTTTCCTGTGACCTAATCAATTATATGCCCTTGGTCACTGACTCTTATGTTACCCCTTAGAGCAGAGGGTGGCACTTCGGGCCGGTGGGGAGCAAGTGTGAGAGTTGAGACTGGCCTGTTTCTGTAGATGAGGTCTTACTGGAGCTGGCCACACCTGCTCATTTGTGTATTGTCTGTGGGTGTTCCATGTGGCAGAGGTGAGTAGCTGTGACAGACTATATTTTGCAATGCCTAAAATATTTGCTCTTTGGCCTTTTAAAAAGGTTGGCTCATACTAGCCTTTGTTCCTTTGTTCATTTTATTTTGAGAGTGTCTTGCTCTGTCTTTTGGGCTAGAGTGCAATGGCATCCTCACAGCAACCTCAGACTCCTGGGCTCAAGTGATCCTCTTGCCTCAGCCTCCCACATAGCTGGGGCTATAGACACCCACCATAATGCCTGGCTAATTTTTCTATTTTTAGTAGAGATGGGGTTTTGTTCTTGCTCAGGCTGGTCTTGAACTCTGGCCTCAAGCGCTCCCCCTGCCTCAGACTAAGTGGTTGCACCGCGCCCAGGTGCCTTTGTCCCTTTGTCCATATTCATTGTCTCTGCAGTTTCACTGGCAAGTGTTTGCCCTGTGCCCATCCCTGCTCTCTTTACCACCATGCTCCCTCACCCTGACTTCAGTCCTTCCTCCCCAGGGCGCATAGTCCTCCATATCAGCCTCTTAGCAGCTCTTGGGAGCCCCTTACCTCCTGCGTCCCCTCCATAGCCTGCTTAGGTTTCATCAGTACCATGCCCCTGGTTCTCACTCCTGCCACCCCTTCCGTCATTTGCAGTGGAAGCCGTTGGCCAATACAGGGAGTTACCAGCAGTGAGGAAGAATGTGACTGGGGCCCTTGGCGTTGGTGTTTCTTGGAAGACTGTTGCCCCAGGTCTGCCTCTCGGGGTGGAAGCCCTGTAGCCCTACAGAGCAGAGGTGGCCAGTGGGATGCTGGACACAGGCAAAGGGCAAGAG